ATGGTTGTTTGGCGGGTCCAGGCTGGGGATTCGAACCCGCCACCTTAGGTGTACGTGGCTGGCGCCTTAGCCGGTTGAGCTATAGGTGCCGAGCCGAATGTGGAGATTTAAAAACACTCTTCAGTGAGTTGACCTAGTACCTAAAGTGCAGTAGGTTCTCAGTAAATACAGCTTGCATAACAAGCTGCTGCTTCCTTTAAGGGTTAGTTCATTCCTTCTGCAAATAGTTATTCATACAAGGTTGGTTGGACAATTAAGTTCACGAACTCATCCTGGAACAAGTGCCACATACCTCATTGTTGACGTACTCCCTTGGGAGGCTATGCCCAGTCTACCCTTCAAAGCAATTTTGGAGCTCTTTTTCTGGAAATGCCATCAGAATTGTCATTCGAAGTATGACAATTAAGTTCATGAACTCATTCGAGGGAAAAGTGCCTTTTTTTTTTTAGACAAAGTCTCACTTTGTCACCCTTGTTTGAGTGCTGTGGCATCATAGCTCATAGCAACTTTAGACTCTTGGGCTCAAGTGATCCTCTTGTCTCAGCCTCTCTAGGGTGGGACTACAGGTGCCCACCACAAGGCCGGACTGTTTTTAGAGATGGGGTCTGGCTGTGGCTCAGACTGGTCTCCAAATGCTGAGCTCAAGTGATCCACCCACTTTAGCCCCCCCCAGTACTGGAATGACAGGTGTGAGCCATTGCACTCAGCCTAGAAAGGGGGATTAGATGCTGGCATCCATGCATAGCTTTTTCTAGGACCATTTAGGAACTTTATTGTCAGACCTCCTAAGTATTTGAAGTATGCCAGATCCTGTTCTGTCCTCCAAGGTAGAAATGGATAGGGTGTAGGCTCTAGCAGTACTTGGCTAGAGGCAAGGGAGGGATACAACATGAAATAATCAAATGGTGATAAGCTCTCCAAGGACCACAAAACAGGGATGTGACAGTCGCTGCAGGAGTGGTCCGAGTGCCTCCTTGCAAATAAACAAGCCTAGCTCTTGTTGACCCAGGGATTCTGCACCCTCTTTTCCCTCTGCCTAGATTGCTTTTCCTTGGGCTTTGCAGGACTGGCTCTTTTAGGTCATCCAGGGTCAAATGCAATGTCACTTTTCCAGAAAGACGTTATTCTCTCTCTCATGTAAAGCACTGACTCCCCCAGGATGCTGCCATTTCACCTTCATTATACCAATCTAGGTAATGATCCAGAAGGGCACTGCAGTTTAGGGCAATATTTATTGTTCTTTGCTTGATGAATGTTTACATATGTGCACACCAATGGAGCTGCCCACCCACATCAAGGCTAAGTATTTCCAGTCCCTGACCAGCTCCCTGTGTCCCTTCACAGTCAATCCTACTTCTGCCCTCACAACACCGCAGAGGTAACCACCATTCTGACTTCTGTGGCCACAAATTCCTCTTGTGGAGAGCAATATTTTTCCTATTTGCCTAAAGAGAAGCAGCACCTGGGGCTCGGTGCCTGTGGCTCAAGTGGCTAAGGCGCCAGCCACGTACATCTAAGGTGGCAGGTTCAAATCCAGCCCGGGCCTGCCAAACAACAATGACGGCTGCAACCAAAAAATAGCCGGGCGTTGTGGTGGGTGCCTGTGGTCCCAGCTACTGGGGAGGTGGAGGCAGGAGACTCGCTTGAGCCCAGGAGTTGTAGGTTGCTGTGAGCTGTGATGCTACAGCACTCTACCCAGGGGGACAGCTTGAGGCTCTGTCTCAAAACATAAAAGAAGAAGCCCCTGGGAGGGCTTGCCAAAAAAAAATTTCTTGGGTCTCAAACGATACCTACTGCATCTGAATTTCCTGGGACAAGACTTGGTAATCGGCACAGAGTTCACAAGTGCCGCAGGTGTTACTAATTCTCATACAGATCCTAGAGTTGCTAACTGGGAATTAGCTGGGTGACCTGGAGCCAGAGATTCAACTGCTCTGTGTTCCAGATTTCTGCAACTTAGAGATAACAGTAGTAGGTACTTCACTGAGTTGTTTTGTAGAAGAAAAGAATCTATATGTATAAAGTGCTGTAAGTAGTATCTGACTCATGCAACGGGGCGACAAATCCCAGCTGTTAGAATTTTTTACTTCAGCTCTGTTATCTGTCTCCCCACCAGACTGTAAGCTCCAGGAAGACATAGAACTGGCCTATTTTTTTGTTTTTCGCTGTATCCCCAGGGCCAAGAACAGGGCCTGCACATTTTCTCAGCTTCTTTTGTAGCTAGCATGGCTATAGGAGTCATTTTGGGGTTATGGAATGATTTCATGCGTGTTCCTATGAGGCCCATTTTAACTCTTAGCTACCATGTCCAGCCAGACCGTCTCTGTTCCACAGCTAGATCACTGCTAACTTATTTTTCTGGTCTTATAATATTCTTTTTAAATTTCTTATTTTTTCTTTCGATACTTGTTTTTCCCATTGCAAGAGAATTACAAGCTGGTGGGTAGAAATTTGAAAAAATGTACAGGAAAATACATGTCTAAGGAAGAAAGTGAAACCTATTTATAATCCACTACCCAGAAATGATATTTTGATTTGTGAATATATCTAATGTTACTTTGGGGCACATGTGTATGTATGCGTACATGGATGCACACAAGTTATACTAAAATATTTTCTTAAAATATGATTATGACTTGCATGTTATTTTTGCCCTTCATTTTTTGGTACATGTTGATGATTTTTTTTATTTTAATTAATTATTTTTTATTAAATCATAACTGTACATTGATGCATCTATGGGGTTCAGGGTACTTCTTCGATATACAATGTGAAATGTTTACATTGAACCAAGTAACACATCCGTCACAATTATACTCATTTCTTAATAGTTTTGAAATGTACCATTGCATGATGCACATTAGGTGAGGTCCCCCCAAATACCCTCCCTTCTCCCATATCCCCCTTCCCCTCCCCCTCTCTCCTCTTCCCTTCTACTTTCTGGACTATACTTATGTTGATTGTTTTTTAAAAAGACCCCAAATAGGCACAGCTACCTGAGATCCCACAAATCGAGATACATGTGACAAGGATTTACATCTTTATGTCTTGTTTATCTTGCTAGTCTTTTCTCTGTAGAAATGTAATAGAATGAACCATAGGAATGGCTGACATTTGTCTCTTTTTTACTTAAAATAGTAATTCTGTTTGGTTCAAATCAATATGTATTCACAATATTAATATCATACTTCGGATAGAGATTGCTTTTATTATACCCAATGTCTATTCTCTCAATTTTCTTAGTAATAGAACTCCTGATTTATAGCTGAGCACATGGCCTCCTGAATAAAAAGCCTTCTCAGCTTCCTTCATAGCT